ACGGTTTTTTTAAATTCAAAAGGCAAGTCATCTCATTACATGTGGGATCAATCAAATCAAAGGATAGTTAATTACACACCAAGCTGCACCCACCTGTTACCATGCACATGGCTGGCACAAAACGCAAATGAGTAATGGATGAGCGTAGGGTCAATTAGCTGTCCCTGATCGGCTTTATCAAGAAGATTAGAAAGCAGCGTGACATGTCGATAACATCCGCGGACCATATACCGAGCGCAGTACTCATCCAATACGAAAACTTGTCCAGGCGAAAACCACCCCTGACATAATAATACATTCTAGCAAAAGCGACATAGACGAGAAAGAACCAAAAATCTCACCAATGAACATATGGGTTCATTCATCCGGAAATTCAAAGCTTGTCGTTGGATGTCCGCAAAGATGTGGTCATGATTAAAGCTTATGGGATCTGCCTAAAATGGAAGACATGGGGTAACGATGTGAATAAAATCAATCTCGACCCTACCTGGATGATATCATCCAAACCATGTTTACTGGCTTTATCTTGGAAGCCCTGAGCTTTCGGAGCTACCGTGGATTGCTTCGGTGGAACTGGCTTGTAAGCTTGTCCTGTTGCTCGATACAAAGCCTATAAGGTTTTTGTTTGATACTTCAGGGATACAGTAAAGAAAACGAAGTCTCATATAAAGCGCACACCTGAACCCATAAATGCCGTTCATTCTCATCGTCCGTGGCAAACTTCAATTCATCACCTTCCTTGATGGCTGTGAAAAAATGCTTGCCACCTTGAGCAGCAAGATCTGAATAGCACACGTTTTGAAAATTTTTGCAACCTTTTTAATAGTGAAAAAATTGCTAGGAAGGCATCATTGCAACTGGCGAGATATAAGGTTTGATTTGCATCTTTTTACGGCTGTTTAAGATAACCCCCAAAAAACATTTTACGACTCGGTTCATGAGTCTTCGGAAATTTGCTACATTCTATCTCAAAAAAAAACTGTAGAAAATTTACCTTGATCCGGCTCAGGCATGTAATCGATGGTGAACCCGTCAAGTTGAACAAATTCGGTTGGATCCGACTTCTTTTGTCGGAAACTACAGACCGCAAATGCATATTGAGACACCTGAAGATGATTCACAAGATACACAGCCTTACATAAAACAGACATAAACTTACCTGAACTAGGCAAAAAAATCGTCGCTTCCACTTCTTCCACGCCTGCCGACCGATACAGTAACAGTAGCCGCAATATTTGAGATTAGGTGGCTTTTCTACCCGTATTGTAATCCTGATTTTCAAATTCTGGTCGGCACTGTTCTTTGGGACAGTCATCGTATACCATTCCGGTGACCGCGAGCAGTTAGGCGTCGGTTGGATAATTACCTCAAATTCCAATCTGATGGGCAATAACTAAGTGCATTCATCAAAGTTTGCTAAGTATTTGACAGTACTTTATCGGTCTACTTTATACTTTTGAATGTCACCGTTGTTACCACGGTCACCAATACAGCTCAAAGATAAGTCTGATATTTGTACGCGACTTCGCCGGTTAATCAAATTTTTCAACCAGACAGCTGGTCGCCAACCGGCTACATGCGTATGGTAAGATGAGGCTAGCAATTACACTAATAGCAAGGTTACGGTAACGGGTAACAAGGTTGACATGGAGAAAGTATGGAAAAAAATATTCAAAAAAATAGCTTCAAGTAAATTTACCATTGGTAATCTCACCTTTCCAAGTTCCTTGTCTTCAAAAGCGACGATGCTTTTCACCTCAGAATACAACTTGACCTTGACGACAGGTAAAGGATTCTTTGTGGAAAAATCTCCTTGCGTATCCCATCTATAAATGTAACGAACTTAGCAAGAGAAATCTGGAAATGACAATAGAACCCACGATGGTCGTTGAGCTTCGGCATGATCCGTTTGCAATTTATGCCCATCCACTTCCATGGTACAATAGACTATTCGATTGGGAGCTATCGCCTTCAGACCTTGAACTTCCATCACAACAACCTGATAATAATAATGATGGGAATTTTGGAAAAATCATACAAGAATATTATACCTCTATGTTGAACGTTAGCACAACATCGCTCTTTGTCAGAGTCACCTCTCCATCATCGCTATCATTTTTGTTCAGCGAACCAGAACTAGTCCTCCTCTTGAGGCTGAAAGAAACTTAGCCTTCTATTCGCAGAAGAAAATATCTTCGATTGAGCCCCAAAAAATTGTCCCGAAATCTAATAGCAAGCATATAGAAAGCGACACTCGTCATAATTATGCCAATCAACTTCTTGCGCTGACATCTCTCTGCTGCGTGAAATGAGAATCTGTATCTGGATGTAGCGTGGTTCCGGAGCTCAAAGTCCCCCGATAGAATACATATCAAAACTTTT